ACTTCATCTCCAATTACAGTTTCTTGCACTATTGCAGTCTTAATCTCCTCCCCTGGGTTATTTGTTGCCTGTTTTTCCATTTCATCCTTAAAAAATCATGGACATCAACGGAAAAAACCAGTCTAAATTCTAACCAGAAAATTGCTATGAGATTTTGTGTCTGAATTATTGAACACCTTGCAAGTGATATCCATTGCTTCTGTTGTCTCATGCTTCGGATGGGATGGGTGTGATGTGGCTGTTGGTGGCCACATGTATTGTTGTCTGAATTTCAACTAAGGTTGGTGACCATAACACAAGTGAGTCCAAAACGTTGTTTTTTCTCTTTAGGCAACAAATTATGAATGCAAAGACTGGATAATTGAAGCCCAAGTTTTCTCACATTGTTTTCTACTTTTTTGTTAATCTAAACCTTAAATTATTTTAACTCCACTCAGTTTCTGAAGTTGTGACTTTTGATGAATGCATATCAAATTTACATAGTGGTGGTGAGTGGTGAGGCTAAAGTGGCTGGTGGGAGTGAGTTATTTGGTGGTGGCTGGGTGAATGGGCTAGCCTCTTTGTGGCCGGTGGCAGGGTGGAGGTGATTGGGGTGGGTTTCCTTGTCCGGGGAGGAGGAGAGAGTGGGGGGAAAATAAATTTAATTTGGAAGAGGGAGGGAAAGCGAGTTTAACGTATCAGGGATGGAGGCTTGACGGAATTTCGCTTGTTAGGTTTGGGATTACATGGTGATATTTGAAAACGTCTGTGGTATGTTGTGTTTTTTTCTTGAGAACACGGTGTGTTTCATTAAACCTTGGGGATATAGGGTGAAAAATCCTCCTCCATCTTTATTTTTTTCTTTTGTTTGTGTGTGTGTGTGTGGGGGGGGGGGGGGTGGTTGTATTAATTGGTGCTAAAAAACACTGATAGAGTTATTTGTTTCATTAAACCTTGGGAATATAGGGTGAAAAATCCTCCTCCATCCTTTTTTTCTTTTGTTGACAGGGGGGGGGGGAGGTTGTATGAAATGGTGGCTGATAAACACGGATAGATTTATCTTAATGATTTAGATAAAGATACTTTTGCTTAGAAATGGTGTTTGTTTTCTTTTGAGGTTCAGTGATACTTTAATTCAGTGTTTTGGTTAATTTCTCTTCATCTGTTGCATTGATTAGATCTCTTTTCTTGTTGATCATAGGAAAATCTAAGGGGAAGCTATGTCTGTATGCCGACTCTTTTTCAATATTACCTCGTCTCCTTAATTTGGAAGAGAAGGGAGTTTCTGTTTCAAATATTGAAGAGGTAAATTAAATTTTTTAACTTTATTTTGCATCTGCTTAGTAAAATTTTAGCTGAAAAGATTTATCACATTACACTTAAACAAGAAAAAATGATACAGAGAAATCTGCTTAAGCATAAGAATGATAGGGGACTTGTCTTGCTTTGCTCTATTCCAAGCTAGGTATATCTTTCCCGGCTTGAAGGCTGCTGAGGGCCAGCCAGGCTTCGGGATACAGGAGTAGATGGTGTATCTTTCATCTTAACCACTAATTTCTCCTCTTCTCCCAGATATTTGTCATCGGCTCTCAGCCCATACTTGAAATTCTCCTGATACTTCTTCTGAACTTTTGCCCTTTTCTTCAAAGTAGATATCTTTTATTGCAGTTCTTCTCTCGGTCTGGTTTTGTTAGGTTAACAGTCCACTCTCTTTTCTCATTTGTGAGGAAACTCCTGATTCTGCTGCCAATAGATGAAGTTTTTCTATTCTGTAACCACCCTTTTTTTTTCTTCCAACACTTCCTCCTTTGAAAAATCTAGGTACTGATTCTGAATTTCTGACCCTTAGATTAAACTATGTTCATCTTTTAAACTTTTCAAGCAGAAATATTGAAAAGGCAGAATAAAATGAGCCCTCTAATGTTATATATGCAGCCAAAACATCACAAGCATTTTGAGAAACTATCAAATCATCAGTTTCAGTGGAAGGTATACAATGGGGTGAAGATTTTACAGCCTCCTATCAAACAAGGTCGCAATATGTGTGCATTTGCAGCAGTTGTAAAGCAACTCGATTATAATTTGAGGTTGTTGTATGCTAATGCAAGCAAGGGATCGTCATTGACTGAAGATCAATGTATATTTGACCACAAAAAATGGGAGAATGATTTGAAAAAAGAGTATCCTGATCGCAAAACTAGGTGGAAACCTATTGAGCTGCTAGTTGAGGCACAAACCAGAGGTGTACCATTATGGAATCATGGTACCCATGTTATCCAATTCACCAAGGGTATGTCATGTCGAAAAATAGACGCAATCTTTCAGTTGAAGCAGTTGCTAAAATTTTTTCCAGTTATAGGAGTTGTGCCTGTATGCACTACTTATAATGTTGATGGAGATGATGTGTATGTAGGAGGTGATAGTTATGTGACTGAGAGGAGATTTAATACGGAAGGTATGGAGGTAGAGCAAAGAGCTCTTCATGCTGTTGTTTTGGTGGATTTATGCGAAATTGATGGAATTTTATACATATCATATCAAAATTCCGAGGGGGATTCTGGAAAAAGCATGTGTGAACTTGGCATCTCATGGATGGAAGCTGCTTTAATTAGTGAGATTGTTTACGGATGTTCTCTGCCACCTGTTCATCCCCCAAGCGTATTACAAACCAAAAATCAAATTGACTCAATGCTCGCTGAATTTGAGATGGTTGGTTCAGGTTTGAGTACCTCTCAAGAATATTTTCGGAAGGGTCAAAATATGATTTATCAAATCACAGAACCTAGGATGGTTTTTCATAATGATAAACGTATGAGTTGGGACAAAAAAATTCGAGATTACATCACAAGCATTCACGACATATCCCAGAAGTTGAAGAAGTTCTTTCAGAAATATAAGAACGTTGAAAAGGCCGCCGTGGCAGGTTTTGGCAATGTACCGCGGCTTTTAGAGGCTTGTGGGGATGCGGATGAAATTGAAGGATTTGCGATCAAATTGCAACAATTACATCAAAACACATTACTCTAGTTCTGGTAATTAGTTATGTTGGTAAAATTGATGTAATGCTTGTGTTTGATTGTATCTTAGTTGTGTAATTAGTTGTGTTTTGCTGATTAGGTTTGTATTGCCTATGTTAATTGTTATTTCTGTTTGGACGATGTTACTTAGCTAATTTATTTGGCCAAATAGCTAGGATATAGGGAATTCTATTTTCTTGTAGGCTGTTGTGGTGGTAGTTTAGTGGTTACATCACTTACATGTTTTGAGGGTGTATTTTATTTGGACGTTTCATTTTTTAAAAGCCCCTTTTGGATTGCATTTAGTTTTTTCTGCCCTTTTCCTTTCCTTGTGATATGTGGAGATAACTTCTGTTCAGGTAGGTTTACACAATGGTTAAGGACTGACCTATGGTGTTTTGTTGCTTTTTCAATTGTGGTGTCGATATTGCATTCTTTGGGTTGGAGGACTATATATGTGTGTGCTCTAATATTTTTTGGGTGGGTTTGTGTTGCTTTTGTCGTTTGTTTGGGTGGGTTTGTGTAGCTTTTGTTTCGGTGCCCTGACAAAAATATATATTGTGGTAAATGTAGCAGTAAAATCAGTGATATTGCCTAGTTTGTTAATAACGCTTCGGATTACACTCTGGTGTACTTGTAATTGTATTACTTTTCAAGATATTAATGCTTTTGGAAAGGAACGATGGTTGTTATATGAAGGGATGGGGGGGTGAAGTTTGGTTTTCTATATTTTTTTTTTTTGTGGGGGGTAGTTTAGTACATCTGCTAATTGTTTAATCATGTGCTGGTAGATGTATTTGTTGTGTTAACTATTGTAATAAGCTCCATGTTGCTTGGATCCTTCCTTAAGTGATGTTTAAAACTGGTTATTTAAAATACTTCATTAACTGATGCAGCAAACCCAGCTAGAAAGAAGCTGCGGCTCTGTTTACTTACGGAGGTACTTCTTCAGACAAAGAATCACCTATTTCTGCACCAACAGACCACTCCTCTCCTGCTACTAAGGACACTGAAGCTACTGCAAATCCTGCTGTCAAGCTCCTTAGGAAGATTCAGACAGAGCAAAGAAAGTTTTAAATGTGCAGGGTTGTAACTGAGCATCATAGCTCATTATCATCTGGTGCCTTTTGCTTACCATAAATAAGACTATATGCTGTGCTAGTACCAACATGAAATCTGCAGTGCCTTCAGCCAGTATTAAGTTTAGTTTGCTACACCTTGTATGAAATGGATTTATTGTAACTTTGTAGCTTTTTCTTTTGGGACCGTTTAGTAGGAATATAGACAGTAGTTTGTGTTCTTATCAAACATCTCCTTACAAGACTTCATCTAAATCTTTTGCAGAGTTTGCGAGGAACATACACAGCTTGAATTGAATTGTTAGGAACATATACACAGTAGTTTGTATGTTCCTAGAAAACGCCTGCTTATCAAACACTTTAAGCTTGGGAGTTAAAGCTTTTTCTATATGATTATATGCTATTGATCTAATTTGACTGCAGTACACCATTCTGCTTTATATATGTTTTCACTTGCATACAATTACTGATTCAAATAGGTTAAATATTTAAATTATGCTACACAATTAACTTTATCTTTTTTAAAAAATAGGTGCTTATCTTATTTATACAAGTCAATTACCATCTTTCTTCTACACTATACTGTTTAAATTGCAGTCATTGAAACCAATATAGATGTTGGGAGAACACTATTAGGCTTCAGAACAAAAACCTTAGAAGAAATGCATGAGATTTACAAAAAACATGCATCAATTGTAGGATTTTCAGTAAGGAATTGAAACATACCGGTAGGACTAGGGATAAAACTGGAAAAGTTATTGTGGAGAAATACTATGTTTGTTCTGCACAAGGTAAAACAAACACTGGGGAAAGAAAAAAGAAAAAAATAGAAGCAATTGTGGAGAATGCAGAAAAGAAGAAGAAAAGAAAACCTAGGCAAGTTCCTATCACAAGAACAGATTATAGAGCTTGTATAAGAGTCAAGATGAATGAGGATGGATTGTTTGAAGTAGTACAACATGTTTTGGTACATAATCATGAACTCACAAGAAAACAATGGCACTATCTTCATCGATATGAAAGAGAGATGACAGAAGAAAAGGGACAAGTAATAGAAAACTTGCAAAAGTCAGGACTTTCAGCTATGGACTCATATCGAGCTATGTGCAATAAAGCTGGAGGTGAAGAAAACTTGGGACACACAAAGAAAGACCACCTGAATTATTGGACAAGGTTGAAAATGAAAAATATTGAAGGTGGTGATGCACAAGCAGTCTCTGAAATAATGTACCAGGAACTTGCTAATGATCCTGAATTTTTCTTTAGATTTAGATTGAATAAAGAAGGAAAGTTAAGAGCACTGTTTTGGAGAGACTCGATGATGAGAGAAGATTATAGTATTTATGGAGATGTTGTAGTGTTTGACACTACATATAGGACAAATAGATACAATTTGATGTGTGCTCCTATTGTTGGAATTAATAACCATTGGAAAATTGCATGTTTGGGTGTGCTTTTATTGGAGATGAGAAAATTGAATCATTTGTATGGCTTCTTGAGACATTCAAAAAGTCAATGGGAGGGAAATGCCCAATCTCAATCTTCACAGACCAAGATCAAGCAATGTGCTCTGCAATACAGAAGGTAACATTTAAAGTTATACATAAAGGTGTTAAAGTTACCTTGTTTCTATTGTGTAGTTACCTTTTTTTTTTTCTAAAAATATATCTGATTATAATTCAGGTCTTTCCAGAGGTCAGACATAGATTATGTATATGGCATTTAGAACAAAAGGCTATTACAAGATTTGGATCATTGAAACGAGACAAAGATTTTAAGAGAACATTCTCCTACTGTTTGAAACGATGTGTAACTGAAGTTGAGTTTGAAGCTGTATGGAACTCAATGATTGAGAAGTATAATTTACAAGAAGATAGTTGGTTCCAAAGAATTTATAATCTAAAAGAAAAGTGGTGTCCAGCTCTAAGCAAAGACTTCTTCTCGGCTGGTATCCTCTCTTCCCAACGAAGTGAAAGTACCAATCATGCAATTGGGTTTAGAGCAAATAGATCAACAAGCTTGACTGAATTCTATAGCATTTTCAAAGCTTGTATACAGCGTTGGAGAAGCACGGAAAAACATGATGAGTTCTCGTGTAGTAAATCAACTGCAGCATCAGCAATACCATTATCTGGTCTGCTGAAACATGCATCAGAAATCTACACTTTGTCTTTATTCACAGATTTTGAAGAAGAATTTGGGTATTCCATTGCAACTGCCACAAAATTGCTTTGGCAAAATGGTAGTACCTTGTTCTATTTAGTGGCAATTGAAAGTGAACCTTGGTCGCAACAAAAAGTCACTTTTGAATCTGACAGCAACCAAGTTAAATGCACTTGCAAGAACTTTGAAGCTTCTGGATGGTTATGCTACCACTGCATCAGAATATTACACTTACATTCAGTGATGAGAATACCAGATCAGTATATAAAGAAGAGATGGACAAAGTTTGCAAAATCATCAATTTGGGAAAGACGTGACAATGAAGAACCTGAACAACATCAATACACACCTTGGCGTCAAACCATGGCTAGAAAATTCTATAATCTAATATTGAAAAGTCAATTTAATGAAGAGGCGAGAACCCTTATCGAGGACAGTTATGTTGTTAGCCTTTCTCTTGTTGAAGAACTACTAACAACCATCAACAACACTACTGAAGCAGAGACTAACCAAGCTACTGAAGTAGAGACCAACAAAGATACTGAAGCAGAGACTAACCAAGCTACTGAAGCAGAGACTAACCAAGCTACTGAAGCAGAGACTAACCAAGCTACATCAACTGAGGCACCTCTTATATTAGATCCTAAATGTACAACAACAAAAGGAAGGAACAAAAGGCCACGAGGACCACTGGAGAAGAAAAGAAAGAAGACTACAGTACCACCACTTGAGTTTGGAGCTATAACCCCTAATTTGAGACTATTTTGATTGATCTTAGATACATTGTTCTTTAATTTTGAACTATATTCATTGATCTTAGACTATTTGAGACTATTGTATTATTCTGGAACCTTTTAGATACAATATATTGATCTTTTTTTTTACTGTATAAGTAATGATGACTTTTTCTAAATAAAACTACAACTTTTAGTAGAATTACAATAACTATTATAACAGTATCCTTAACTTTAATTTGCATTATCCAAAAAAAAAAGTTTCCACAACTTCAATGGCATTAGCCATAACATCCAACCATTTCATAGACAAAATATTAAGTATGTAGTTACAAAAGCATGGTATTAACCAAACCAAAATTTCCAATTAGAAAATAGATATAAAAAAAGCAGCAGTATATACTTACAAAAGAATGAAATTACTGTAAGTTCTAACTACATTAGCTTCCCCTTAACAAATCCTACTGTTGCTAATACAATATTTACTTCCCCTTGGCAGATTTTTCTTTCTTATTGGCATCTTTCTTTTTGACTTCTTTACTCAAATTTTTTGCCGCATTTTCCTCTTTCCTTTTTTGTTGCATCATCAACTTTCTCCTTTTAGCAAATTCAGGTGCTAGCTCCAATCGACGCGGATTAAAATTGCATAAAGAATTCAACACCAATTGTCTGCTATCATTCATATCAGACAGTACCAGTGTTGCACATATCTCTACTCGAAGTACAACTCTTGAACTTGCCTGTATTTAAGAACTACATATATTAGTATCATGTAATCACAGTAAAAAAAACAAAAAAGAAAAACAAATTAACTAAAAAAATTGCAACTAACCCGCATCAACGCATCACAACTAAAAGCAGCACCTTCAAACAACAACATACACATCATAGAATATACTCCACAATCTTGATCATGTCCTTTATTATTCTTCAAACTGAACATCACCTCCTCCATTGCATAATCTCCAACTTCACTAAATTCAGGATGACCAAGACTATTGAATAATGTGCTCAAATTATCACACTACAAAAAGAAGAACAAAGTACAATAATTAAACATATAATAAAAAAAATGTAACTTTAACCAAAATAAGTGTAACTTTTACAAAAACAAGTATAACTTTAACAAAAATTTAAACAATTACCAATATTGCAGCCAAATGCTTAATTGTTTCCATAGTAGCTTCTTCATAAACCAAATTGTCCAATAATTGCATAGTCTTTTTCTTCATATTCAACGCAAAAACCCATAAGTGGTGATACGCATAAATAGGAACAAAAACCTATCATTTGTAATTTAAAATACAGACAATTAGAAATAAAAAAAAATGATGATACATGTGAAATAAAATACACAACAGTAGAAATAATTATTACCAAATCAACAACACTGATATCAAAATTGTTGTTTGTGACTTGAATCCATTCCTTCCAACAAACTTGAAGTTGATCCATAACATCAATATCATTTTCATCATCCCAAAGCTTTTACAAGTTAGCCTAAATAACAATAAGACAAAAAGAAATCCATAAGAATTAACTATACAAACATCAATTAAAAGAAAAATAGCTTTACATAAAACTTACACTGCCTTCAACACCAAAACAGAATTTTTTAGGACCTCCATCGCGCATTCTTTCATTCTCATTCAGCAACATTGCCCAACACTCAATAACAGATTGGAAAATCTCCAAATTACCAGCTAAAGACACCATATCTTCTCTTGGAACACTATGACTAAGATCAAACCACACCAAACACTCCCTAAATAAACAAAAACCAACAAAAATTTAAAAATAAAGCACATTAACTTTAAGAAAAAAAAACATAACTTTAAAAAAAAATATAACTTTAACTAAAATATAAATTACTTACTGATTCAGCACTTGATTATCATCTAAGAAGCAATAATCAGCAATCTCCTGATACAACTTTGGTAACTTTTTCAAAAACTTCTTATTGTTTTTCATCACATGTCCAACAAACACAACATCAACATCACATGGCCCACATCCAACAGATATTTTTGCCTTACCATAACCCAAAGCATTCATGATTATAGATGAGAAAGAATTTTCACCATACTCCAGGTTAATCTTTTCTATCACATTCTGAACAATATTATTAACAAAATCACCCCCAGGAACATTTTCCACCCTTCCACCATTCTCCCCACCCCCAACATTCATATCACAAGCAATATCTGAAATACCTCCAGGCAATTTCTTCATTGATAACATAATATCAACAATTTCATCAATAATCTCAAACATTCTTGGATCATAATCCTGACTTTGCAAGACAGGAGATGAACTACTAGAAGCACAAGCCACATTACGCTTCTTTAAACTTTCAACCTTCTTCACATGATAATTTGTAACAACTTCCATATTCCTCTTCATCAACAAAAATTGCTCATGAATAGCCTGAAAAATAATAAGTGAATAATTAGGAAGATAACTTAGCTACAATAAGTATAACTTTTAACATAAAAAGTATAACTTTAGCATTGATAAGTACAACTTTTAATTACATCAGTAGCAACAGAGTGAATTTCTTCATCAGATGTCATACTTTCAGGAACATAAAACTTAATGATCCTTTTTCCTAGTGATGCATCATCAGCATTGTCACCTTGAGAATCTTCAGTTTGCTTAGCTTCTTCAGGTGCAATTCGAACACGCAGCTGATCTCCGAACACAAAATTCTGAGATATAGGGTATGTAGTGGTATCCAAAATACCACAACCAAAGGACTTAGCGTCAACTTCTTTTTTCACCCTATCACTGATTTTCTTATCAGTCCAGTGTTTGATAAGAGGCAAACTACAATCTTGTGCCTCATTCCTGAACTTCAGACGCTGAAAATACACAACCTCCAACAACAAAAGACAACCACCAACACTGTCTTGACTCTTACTTTTCTTATACTTCAAAATAGCCCTACACAACCTTTCATGAACATATTTACACCAATTGAAATTCTTAATTTCATCAACATTTTCAAGAGCTTTAACAAAACTCAAATCGGCAGTTCTATTTGCAACAGGTGCTAGAAAGGTAGCAAAAGCAACCATCACAAATAGTCTCTTAAACAACTCCCCACCATCCTTTAACTGAACAATCCTAGCCTCTAATTTATGCAAAGGTATGCCTGCACTACCAGCAACATCAAACATACTCCTCCATTCTTGTTTCAATTGAAGATCAGTACTTCTAGTACTCTCTACAACATCAATCCCATTATTCAAAGGTAACTCAAATACATCATAAACATCATAGGGAGAAATAACAAATTCCTTTCCAGGACTTATAGAAAACATCCAACTAACAGGATCAAAATGATTAACCAACCTAGGAAGTAAAGTTGTAACAGTTCTAGTCAACTTTAAATCCAACAAACCACCAAACCCTATTTCAACAACAGATTTAACTTGCTCATCAGAAAAATCTTTCATGAGATCTACTAATGTGTGCGGTCTGCAATGGGTACTGAAAAACCTATCCAATCTGAAACAAAAAAAGAAGAAAGGAAAAATAGAATGAACAATTATAACTTTAAAGAGAATAAATACAACTTCAGAAATAATAAATGCAACTTTAGCAAACACAAAATTATAACTATAAATAAGTACTAAAATATAGCTTTAATATCATTATCCATAATTTTACATAAAATTATCCTAAATATTGTATCAGCATATAAGTTAATTATCGCATCTATCTTACTAACACAATGACCATAACTTTAAGGGCATTATCCATAACTTTAGAAATAATAACAATAACTTCAGAAAAGGGTACTTACATTTCAACATCAGAATCAGAATCATCTCTCTTTGATATACTTGCAACACCTTCATCTTCTTCAGCATCAGCATCCGGTCTGTTTCTATTTTCATTTTTGACAGCCTTGTCAACCACTCTCCGCTTCTTCTCAGCAGGACAGATATTGTCCTTCACCATTTTCCGCTTCTTCTCGGCCGGACGACGATAATGTTTTTTTCGTTTTTTCTCAACAGGAGCAGTATTGGATGCCTTAGCTAGCTTTTTCTCAGGACGACGATAATCCTTTGCTGGATTTTTCTTAGCTGGACACCGCTCATCCTTTACTGGCTTCTTTGATTTCACACTCAATTTTCTTTTTTTCTTATTTCTTTCAACAGATTCTTCCTCACTTACTTCATGTTCAGAATACTCCTCACTTCCCTGCTCATCATCACCACCATCCTCTTCTGAACCCTCCTCATCGTCACCTCCACCCTCTTCTGAACCCTCCTCATCGTCACCTCCACCCTCTTCTGAACCCTCCTCATCATCACCATCACCCTCTTCTGAACCCTCCTCATCCTCACTTTTATCCTCCATCACTGCACCCTTCTTCACTGAAGCCTCCTTCACTGCACCCTTCTTTACTACAGCCTCCTTCACTGCACCCTTCTTTACTACAGCCTCCTTCACTGCACCCTTCTTTACTACAGCCTCCTTCACTGCACCCTTCTTTACTGCACCCTCCTTTACTGTACCCTTCTTTATTGCACCCTCCTTTACTGCAGCTTCCTTCACAACACCCTTCTTTACTGAAACCTCCTTTACTCCAGCCTCCTCTACACTACCTCCCTTCTTTCCACCCTTCTCCACATCAACATTGACTTCATTGCTTACATCATTAGCAGCTATAGAAAATAATAGTATTAAATTGAAAATCATAACTTTAACTAAAAAAATATAACTACAACTATAATTAACATAACTTTTATAAAACAATCAGACATATGATACAACATAAAGCATAACTTAAGCAAACTTTTATATAACTATAACAAGCTGACAATGCCGAAGTTTAAGATTAACATAACTTTAACTAAATATAGTATAACTATAACTATAATAAACATAACTTTTATAAATCAATCTGACATATAATAAAACATAAAGCATAACTTAAGCAAACATTTATATAACTATAACAACTAATTTTGTGACTTTAACAAATGTACAAAAATCAAGAAATTGTAACTGTAAATAGAGAAATTGGTAAAACCTTGAGCATCATCAGATTGACCAACAGAGCTTCGCAAACCACGTCTCCTTTGAAAATTCCAAAGACCACCTCTAAACTTCACCATCGCAATTCAAGAAATTAAACCCTAAAATTCAAAATATGAACGATTAATTAATGAAATACTGACATAAAAAACAAATTAAATGAAAATGCATGAAAAAACTGAAGAAAAAAAAACGATGAAAAACAAAATATGAACACAATGAACCAGGAAACCATAAAATATAAACAAAATTACGATCAAAAACAAAAAAAAACCAAAAATCAAACTAATATACTTACGAATACAACAAATTACAACAAAAACAAAGAATTCTACTTAAAAATTGAAATAAAGTAGAGAACTACAAGTTAATAATACACATGTAAAATGGAAAACCATATCAAATCAGCAATTACAACAACTAATGAACAAAAAATTATGCGATTAAAACCAAAAATAATTTTAAAACTAACCTCAAAAACCGATGAGAATACAAAATTCAATTCGTCAACTAAAGAAAATCAACAAAACAAAGGAAAGATGAAGAGAAATTGCAGAGAAATATGAACAGAGAAGTTATAAATTGCAGAGCAGAAATGAACGAAGAAGACGCGCTAAAATGAAAAAAAAAAAAAAAAAAACGAAACAAAAAACAAAAGAGAGAAGTTATAACTGTTGGACTGCACGTGTGAGCCCAGTCCAGAAGAGAGAAGTGAGCCGGTTTTACACTAAGTTAGTATAAGCCGGCCTTTTTCAAGAATTTGTGTTGAGCTGGACACAATCCTGCAAAGAGAGGAGAGAGTCACTTGTAAGTTGTAACAGCAAGCCATGCCAATGGAAGAAAAAAAAATGTGGTGACAAAAAAAGAAGATTTGAGACGAGGGAAACTCAGTTACGAATCGTTTCCTCGTTAATTTGTTATAGGAGCGTGCTCATATTATAACTTCTTTTCTATCACCTTAAAGACATTAATCGAGGCCATCCTTTGCACACGTCGTTGAAAACCCCTCTAGGATCAACCACACCCTGAACTGTAGTCGAGTACGAAGTCTTCTGATTTCGCTCAGTGTGGCGCTTATTGAAATAAGCAGCCACACTAATCTTAGGTGCAATTATTGGTATATGAGTTGTATACATAGAAGTATAGAACCAACCACATTAGGAATGCCAGAAATGGATTCAAATTCCTCCTTAATCTGCCTCAACGAATCCTCACCGGGCCATTGCAGGTACTTGGGCATCAAAACGGACCTAATTGCAGCACAAACATCAAGAACAATCTTATGACAAGTTGAAATCCCCAAACCAAATCTCTTAGACACCAACCTAAGCGGCTCACCTGTTGCCAACCTATATATACACACAGCAACTCGTTGATCAACCGGAATAGCAGCCCTCAACATCGTATTCTCCTTGGCAACAGCCACCTTCAACTCATCACAAATCAACTCAAATATTGCTTTTCCCATCCTAAACCACCTCTTAAACTCACTCTGAGGATAATCAGGGCTAGTACACTTATCCCACCAATCCTTAGACCTGTCTTTCACCCATAAACGTCGCTGATGGCTCACTGATGAACCACTAGATTGCTTACTGCTAGCCTCAATACTACCGCCTTTCTCAATCATTTCACTAGCAGCAACAACCATTGCAGAATTCACAGCTCCCCTCGATCGCTTTCGCCTTAATCTATCAGTTTCATCCAAACCCTTATAGCTACTCTGCAAATTCGAATTGTAATCCAACATTGCTTATGTTTTTTCCTTATGAATCGCCTCGATATCGAATTTCTCTTGATCAGCAAATTCTTCCCACTCCTCTTTCTCTTGCTTCTCTTGGTCTTCTAATAACAGATATGATGTGATTATCATTTCCTTTGTTTCCCTTTTGTCACTAGGTTGTTTCTTTACTGTAATATTATATTATGTGGAGTACTCGAATTTGTTATTTCGTAAATGGTTTCGTTTTTTAATCTATGTAGAGAGGGGTTAAAGATGGGTAATCAGGGAATTCTGGGTTGAAGAAATGACCGTGGACTTTCTTGGGATTTGATAGTCAAAAGGTTTGGCTGTAACATGCTTTATGTATCACTGCTAGTAAATTTTAAACAAATGCTCCGTAGATTTTACAACTGTTACTCCATGTTCACCGTTAGAGGTGTTAAAACCTCATCCGACTGACCTGATTTGAAATCAATTCAAAAATATTCAGTTTAGATTTTGGCTTGCATAAACACGTTAAGTTAGCATGATTCAAGTTTAAAATTAGATCTGACGCAACCTCATCAAAACCGACCCGTACATCAACTGAAATTCTACTTATGGAGTATTTCAACTAAAATAAAAAGGTAAAAGAGTACTTAAAGAGTACTATAGTTTATACTACTACAAGGGTTAAAAAACTTATATAAGATAAGTTTATAAAAAACAAAATTTACACAAGTTAAAAGAAAAACTAAATTCAGATAAGAGACTAATAAGGGTTACCTAAATTAATAGACCTGATCAAATCTAGCCCAATTTGGCCCGCAAAGGCTTGGTTTGGTCAGCTGGTCCGGCCCAACTTTTTAAAAAAATTTCCCCTGAATAATTGGTTCATGGGCAGCCCAAAAAATTGACTTTAGTTGAATTAAATCCTGTCTTTTTTGGCCTGAAAATTGAGTTTGGACATAGGTTTTGACCCAAAGTTAGGCCCGGCCTAAATCCTTGGGTCAAGATGGGCCGTTTTCTTTGTAAGTATGGACTCATAACAACTTGGGCCTTGAGGAACTAATGATCTTATAACTAGTCTATTAGAGTGCATCCAGGCGCATAGGGGCTATGTGTTTCACAAGCACATAAGACGGCATTTTGGGATTTTTTTTTTTCTCTCCCTTAATGGTATAATGGTACATTTAATGTACCATTATGTATATAGTGGTACTTTTTGCCATCAAATTTTTCACCGCCGCTTTTTTTCATGTTTCCATTATTTACAAAAATGTCATCCTATTTGTTTCATTGGCACATAGGCTATATGCGCCAATACTTCTCCAGTCCATTAAATTATTTACCTGACCAGCAAAAAAATAAATTCTCCCAAAATGAGTGTATCATAAAAAGAATGTCTTAACTTTTTTATTGAGATCTTTCAACTTCAATAGCTCAAATACTACTGCCAACAGTTTGCATTTTATTCATTTGTGTTAATACTAATTACGATTATAATTAACTTGAATTTTTTAATCAGAGAATAACTTAAATTCATTAACTGCAGAGTTACTGCAACTCTGCAAGCTAAATATTATCACCCAAAACAACAATAGGTCTTGTTCCATAACATTACTTAAATATAGATTCATATCATTTGTTTTTTAATAAAAATCAAGGATCCATGAAAATAAAAATATCACTAGCACTTAAATATGCGTTCAAATAAAACATAAAAAGTAATTAGATAGTTGGTAGCATTTAGTAAACAGAAACTTGTTATTCTACAACCAAAGATCTAGAGAGATAGGGAGCTCAAGAGCTTGTAACCAATCTGATAGTAAAGCATCATTGATCGCGGTCTTCACCGTCTCTTCAGTTAACAGCTTAACACCCTTGGATTCCTAGAATCGACATGAAATATACTGTCGGTTCCAGTTGGTGGACCATCATAACGAACCCCAACCTCCCTAGCTATTTCAGCCAAATTTGATGCAGTGATACCTGGTTTCTTCAGAACTCGTGCTGCCAATTCACCTACTCCGACTCTTGAACGCTGGAAAGTAGTGTAGTTTGCATCAAGCAAATTTTGGTTTACAACAAAGCAAATACCCGGATCCTTGAGAAACTTGCGCAATGAATCAGGGATACTAATGAGAGTATCAAGAATAAAAACCGTGCAATTGGTATGATCTGCATATAAGATTAGTAGATATCTCCCATTGCTCCATATTGTTTTCACATCAACCCCAACAACTTTGAACCTTCTATTTTTGACAAACAAGCTGAGGGTGGAGGTATGGCTTTCTATAAGAGGTCGAGAGTCACTGGTTTTCACAGTGATAGTAGGAATACCATGAACATTGTTGATACAATACGTTCCCATACTCGAAAGGTACTCGATAGGTATACCACCCATTTCTAATACGACTCTCAAAAGGGTTGTTACTGGAGTGATGCATCTAGCAGTATTTATGGCAATTGCTAGCAATGTTTCATATTTCATACAGTGAACACCAAAAGTCTATTAACCCAAGAAGAATATTGAAGGACTGATCAACTCAACATTAATTAACTGTCATGTGGCTTGGTCACTTGGAAAGTGTATATATAGCAGTTTGACCATCAACAACAATTCTAATAACAAGTTAACAACCCTCTTCCTTCATGATAATTGACAGTAAATCTTTTAGGTATACCAAGGCCTTTGAGAGTGGTTATATTCACAGCAACTTGGTCTTGGAAATTTTCTTGTAGAATTTGAATGTAATGCAAATTTGACATGCCTCCAATATATCTATGAATTTTGAAACTTAAAGAGTAAAAATTATCTCACCGAACTTACTAATTTATGAACCTTAAAAATTCAAACTAGATGCAAATAAAGATGGAGGAAAATACATTACTGAAACAATAATTTTATTGATACTTATGGGTTACAAGCTTACAAGTCTCGTAAGTCGTAACTATAATGTTTGATAATAGGGAGAAGATGGGCCCTAGTGACTTATTCCATCTTAACTGGATTAAATCTTAAAACAACCCTTCTTATATACAGTGATAATTATCAAAAAATATACGTGTACAAGATTTTAAGTAATTTTTTATTTATTTGATATTATCACCTTATTTACATAAATTTGACACCTGAAATTAACAAAGTTTCAATGTCCTATTATATACAAGCAAACTGATGTAAACTAATAAGAAAATACGTGAATAAACACAAAGTTCTTATGATTATATATTTTTATTTATGTTGGTAAGAGTACCGGGCTGGAACCTCTCATAGGTCCTCCAAGCTCGGGTTAGTGGGCTAAGTACTTTGGGAGTAGGGGAAAGGGTAAAAGAATATATATTTGTATATTTAAAAATGGGTTTGAGTGGACCCTGATCCAACCAATTACCACCTTTAGTCTTAACCACTAATTCAAAACCTCATTAATATTAGGGTAATGATATATGCAACCCTTATGGCTATATATAAACATTAAAAATACTTTTTAAAATAGAATTAAGTTGAAAATTTATGACAAAATCACACGGAAATCAGTGTAATTAATGTTAATTTATCTTCAATATTTCATTTTTTAGCTTCTTATTAAACCTGAACAATGGGCGGGCTGGACCGGGCCGAAGCTAAAAAAATATGCCATTACTCGGGTCGGGCCTAGCTTCGAGTCGAAATTCCATGCCCAATCCCGCCCAAAATGGTCGGACCATAAGGGCTTTTCTAGCCTGGCAAAAAAAAGAACAAAAACAACATAAAAATGCATTACTAAGCCCGTCTTAAAAAATAAATAATCAGGCTACGACCAGATCCGACCTGATTTCGAGTCGTAAAAACAGCCTAAAATCTACCCAAATTGTAGCTAGGTCAGTTTTGAGCAGCTCAACTTCTTATACATGTCCTAAGGGTTATGTCTAAAAAAAAAAAAAAAAAAAAATAGTGAAGGGCTGAGATTTTTTATTGCTCGAACCCGGAAAGAAAAACAGGAGGCTGAATGCCTGATATTAGAAAACAGATTAAAACCAAAACCGACTCCAATACTTGTAGGTTATAAATTGCAGTTAGATTGCAAGATTTGCAACCTCTTTCCTCTCAAATTTTCCAGAAAACCCTAATCGAAGAGAAGCAAGAAATTGAGAAAAAACTTTTAAAAAAAATGGATGACTCTATCCCTGTTCGTCTTTTTCGTTCTATTCCTCCTCTAACTGAGTTTCGGGATGCAGATCCATGGGATAGCACTAACCTCGATAAAGCTAAGGAGGATTTTCTAGCGATGTGTGACAAGTAAGATTATAATTTTCCAGATTTTATCAATTTTAAGCTTTTCATTGTCTCTGCTATTAAAACTTTGCAATTAATTTGTTGGACAATTCGTTAGTAATTTACCCTAAATTCAACCCTTAATACAACAACAAGAAGATCAGGATCAATTACAAAAATTGCAAAAATCTATTATTGTTAGTTGAATTCTGCAATTTGATTATTGTTATTTTCCGATTAATTTCTCCAATGTTCGATGGTATGCGGTTGAAGGCGGTGGTCGATGAGGGTTTGTTGAGGGCGGTGAGATGTGTGTGGAGGGCGGTGAATTTGAAGGCGGTGGTCGGTGGGGTGTGTTGAGGGTGGTGGGGTAGAATGCAGTGGCTAGTGGTGTATATTAAGGGCGGTGAGGTTGATTATGGTGGCTGTCCAGGAAATTGGTGGGTGGTGCTGCCGGTGGGGAATTGTAGATGAAGAAGAAGAGGAAGAATTAGTCCAAAGGGTCAAAATAGCGGTTAGGGGGTACTCTGATTGATTGTTTAATTTAAGGGGTGGTAAAATAAAATAAAAAAATTAACGGGTGGTTAGTTCATAAACAGGTTCATTTTTGGACGGTAATTTACAAATTATCCTTATTATTATTTTAAATCTATATTGTTTGAATTCTAAGTTTTTGTTTTAAGGGTAATAATGATAATAATTTGTTTGTTCCGTAATCGCCCAATTTTACTTCGTTATTCACAAAGTTATTATCGCTTATGATTATTATTTTCTGTATTGTTTGAATTTT